TTGCAAAATTAACAAAAAAAAATCATTTTGAGAGGGAGTTAGATCATGTTTTGCAAACAAATTCTAAATTACTTTAAATATTTGGCACGTTGTTTTCATAGGTGTGGTAATCTTTGTAAAAATGAACAATGATCTCATCAAGCAAAGAAAAACAACACGAAAAACGTTAAAATTGTCTTCCGTAAATTTCAGCTGTTTAATTTGTAATTTAAAAAAATAATTAGGTTTATCGACTCTAACCAAAACCTTTTCGGTAAAAAAGGCAACAAAGTCATCAGGGATTTTTCCTATTTTACACCAATTGGATATTAAAATTAAAATTAGCAATCAATATAAAACTTATTAAATTATTGGCACACAAAAAATTTAACTGTTTTCTGCTGGGGGGTCACAAGATAATTAACAAAATATAACTTTCATTTTGAAACTTTTTTCGCTTGTTTAAAAATATCTATAAGCACTACTTTTGCAGTTTTGAATGTATTTAAGCTGTTATTTACCTTCTCAAAATAGGTATAATTATTTTAAGTATGTTCCAAGAATTTCTCTCATCCAAAAACAATAAAATAATACATAATGGGAATAATTCAAATCACAACCGAGCAGCACCCATTTTTCTGTCGAATTAGCGAATTTCAAGGCCCGGCCATAATTTACGATGACGAATTTCGCAACTGCCGGCGATGAATCTCTCTCTAGTCTCTCTATCGTAAAAGTACTTATGTGGGAAAAGGCGCCGTCGCGGACACACCTATGTTATTATAAAGATTTTATATAGACTCAAACTCCCTCTCCAAAGATCTCGTCAGTACTTGAAAATAAAATTAAAAAGTGATTTTTTTACTTCAAAATATAATTTTTGTTTATCGGCTGATGAGCAAGGAAGAAATTATTATGAGCGGCGGCCACTCCTTATTATGTAATTATACATTTTTCAAGATTCCTCGCGTGGTCGTTCCTTTTTTTTCTTCCTCGCATCTATCAGCAAAAGGTAAATATTGGACTAGTACCAAGAAAAGTTGAAATAATGTTGGTTGTTGTGGAGAGAAAAAGAGCTGCTGCCGCTGCGCTACCTGAGGTGATAAAGAGATAAATAAATCCTCGAAGAGCAACTCTTGCGTATCAGCTTGTTTTGCCGGCGAACGGTATGCGAGCAGGCGATCATAAATTCCTCTATTTATCGTGGCGCCGTAAATCACGAGCTAATATACCAAATTGGATTAAAAGCTACGGGCAGTGAAATCGAGAAATATGTGAATTCGGCAGCTTTATCTAATTATAAGATCCAAATTTGAAACTTCGATTATTTGAAAATTAAAATTCATACAGAGATTATTAGAAAATAAAAAGAAAAATTGAAGTTTCTTGAGGTTTTAAGATAATCGTGAAATTTAAATGCCAATAAATTTTTCTAGAATCAAAATAATTTAATTTTTCAACAAAGTTTGCGCAGATTATTTTATTTTAATAATACACAACCATGCTAATTAGATCATAATAATAAAAGTACAAAACCACCAAATTATGTTTTTTTTTGCAATACTAACTTTCACGTAACTTAAAACATGTAATTAAGTATTTAAATCAGATTATCTTCAAATGGCTGAAAATTATTGTTTTAAGTCTCTTAAATTTATGATCGAGATTTTTCCTTCCCCACTATATAGGATTCAAAAGTGTACAAATCTCTCAGCAGGATATTTTCTTCCCAAGTATTATTTTTCCACTTCTGCCTCTGATCTCGCGACGGAAAAACATGATTAATGAGCTCTTAACAACGCCGTAAATTAAAGTTAACAGCGCTGTATAATTTCGCCTTTTAACTCGTAAATAAGTAAGCCAATTAAAAAACTTGTGTTCTTCTTCCTTGGGCTCTCCTATATGCGTGCTCATTAAACGTATTACATAAAAACTCCTTAATCACGTGTCAAAGAGTGCAGGAGAGAAGATTTATTTGGTCGGAGGTGATTGCCTTTTTATCTTCCAATTTGATCGCCGACGTGACCCCGAAAAGCGAACGATTGTTTCAACTCCATATAGAGCCATCTCGGAATCCCAACGGAACAATGGTCTATTCGCAGCAAATAGAGAGATTGGCAATTAATTAAACGGGCCTAGAAATAATCAATGGCGATCGGACATGAAATGAAAGGGTCTAGTGTAAGGTGGGTTTTCTCTCAGGCCGGCTTGGAAAAGCACAACACAATAATATTTACGACCTTCGGACGGTTTTTAAAGTTTCTCATTGTGCAGACCACACTCACGGCCCTACTTATTATTCATTAAAGGTCCCAAAAGAATGGTGGAATAATAACAGAGTAGCGCCCTCTTTACGTGTGAGGTCTCGCACAAAGCAATAATCGCTTTTTTCTTATTTTCCCAAAGCCCCCTGATAAAAAATAACTCTCCCTCATCCCTCCCCATTCGATACTTATTTCTATTTTTTTTTGCCGGCTCATATTTTTTCACATCCGCCCTCGAGCAGGATCCTCCACCCTTAATGCTAATACCCGATACTTCCCCTCCTGCTATATAGGGCTGCCACGTACGCTCGCGAGACTGATGATGAAAAATTAAATATTTTATCTCGGCAGGCAGCACCCATCCTGCATGCAGCTTTTGAAGTTGCAGCTTGGCTGGAGATACAAATCATTTACCGCTCCAAAATGACACACGTTGCTTTTTCAAATGGAATTGCCGTTGGAAGGGAAGGGTGTTCACTATTTTTTAAGTTTGAGATTAGTCAAAGGATTTATAATTAGTAAAAAAGAGAAAATCTACAAATTTAAATTTCCTTCAGTTTGATTGATTAAGATTAGTGAAGGCGGAATCTATTAAAATTTAAAATTAATATCGAAAATTTAAAATGTTCCTTTTAATTTGTAGACGCATTTTCTAACAGAACTTGGCATTAAATTGAAAAAATTGAGAATTTTTATCTATATATTAAAAATACAATTTTAAATTTCTTTTATTGTATTATATGAAAATATAGTTTATTACCTGGAAAAAATAATTGTAATTGTTTTTATTACTATTTATTAATTTTTACACTAAATTAACTTAGCCTTTATTTATTTATAATTATATAATAATATTATTATTTCCAGCAATTACTCATTGGCTATTCTACAAACTTCTTCTATTATAACATAGTTCTGCACGTGTTTAATCTAGAATGTAGGTTGCCTCCGTCTTATATGTTTTTTTTCGCGCTTGTTAAAACGTTTTCGTCGTCCACCTGGAAGTGCCACAGTTTCGTCGGAAATTAGCGGCGGAAGTAGATAAAGAGCAGAGTGCACGCAATCGCCTCTCTCTGCGCTGCTTTTCGCCTCGTCCCCCACACACAAAATAGAGTCACTGCCATAAAAATGCTGTGTGACTTTTACCCAACTGCTGAATGCTATTACTGCAGCTCTGCTGTAAAGCGCTGGCGGATGTTTGTAATTACACGTGTATAGCTGGAAAACGCAATAAAATAGAGAAATCTAGATTTCTTTTTGCTTCTCTTTCGCCGTTTTTAGCACCGCGAGAAAATGCAAAACTGTTAATTCCCTTTCTTGGGAAACAAATGTTATTATCTTTTAATTATACAATTATACATCTCCTTTTAAAACCGTAAAAAAACATTAGTACCAAAATTTGTACGTCTCACATTATTTTGTATAATTTTTAATTCTTAATTCGTCAAAGTATATAAATGACAAAGACGTTTGGTGACTTTCGAGTTTACTTAAAGTCGACGACTGATTCTAGGACGCTGAGAGGTTTTACCTCTTATCCTGTCAACTTTCCGAGAGCTGTCATGTTTGTGAAGCTACCTCAATTTCATGCGGATTAGCAGCTTATAAAAATGTAAATGATACCCCGAAATTTAAGTGCCCACGCTGGAATTCCCGCGGATGGAATAACACGATAATTGAAGTATTAAGGAAAAATATTTCATATTTTGGAATTGTAAAAAAAAAAAATATACAAATTAAATAAGAATTATAAAAGGGAATGAGATTCTCAAATGTATGTTATGGTAGAAAAATTTTATTTAAAAAGTACAAGTTGATTTCATTTTGACTTATTGAAATTTTTTAGATTAAATATGAATAACTTAAGATTTGAAGTTATAGTTCAACCAACCTCCATATTTTTTTATCATTATATATAATTTGAAATGTATTAATAATGTGTGCTCTGCTCTTCTCATGACTTGGTCGTAAAAAATCTTCACCCAAGCGGCCTCCAAATTGACTCCTGACCTGCCAGACTGCATCATCACAAATTCCTGCCGAGTAAGAGCTACCTAATAAAATCTTGACCGCATCAGCAGCTGGGGCAGAGGCCACCAAATATAAAACCGAAAACTGCGCATTAACCGATACACGTAATGAAGAAGTGCAGATCCTTCTGTTTCGAGCGCGCTGCTCTGTCTTCTTTCCTTCTCACTCCCTTTAGCGTTACAAGATTGCTAATCCGCCCCGGCACGGCGGCTTTATCTTAAGCAGCTTAAAAGCCGCAGTCTTAATTTTTTTACAGCCGCCAATTGGCAGGAACATCTGCCTTTGAGGCTGCATGTGAAACAGACGCCCTCTGACAAATTGGCCGAGTAATTTTGACCTACATCCCGCAACAGATGCGAAATAAATTTGGTTTTTTAATTTAAGTTTCCAGAGTTAAGTTACAAAAAATTGCTCACAACTACTGCGTTGTATTTAAATTTTAATGAATAAGAAAGAAAAAACTGGACGCGATTGACACATCATTAATCCAAAATTATTTTCACTCCCCGAGTTTAATTAAAAAAATTTCAACGCTGTCATGTTACTTTCAACAGTAATTGATTGTTCATCGAATGGCTCCCTTTTCGTAATGGCAAACCGACGCATTTTGAAACGAACAGGTTCTTATTTGCATATTCATGTAATATAAACTCGCTGATTATTAACGTCTCGTGCAGGCGTGTGTAATTTGGTTTGACGCATTAAAAAAATTGGCGCGGTACTCACGGTGACTTTCTGGAGGTACAGCTCGATCTCCAAGTAAGGGTCGATCTTGGGGTCGTTGTTATTCGTCTCCTGCTCCATCGAGGAGGTTGCAAGTCCGCCGCAGTTTTCCATTGCTCACGGTTCTAGTTCAAAAGAAGTCATTCGTCCATGTTGTCCTGAAAAAAGAAAAATTAATTAAATTATTTTACCAGAAAAATTTGAATCAAAATGGAAGGTAAAATATTATATTATTATTTTAAATAATAAAAAGAAACTAAAGTGACAAATAAAGAATCCTTCAGTAACTAATTTTTTTTATCAATCATCGCGGAAATAAATACCTTTTCCTATTCAAAGAATTATTTGTTTATAATGATGAGGTATTGCATTATATTATTCACTTTTCCATAGAACTGAACAGTCATTGTCCTCGAATATTTTTCTTTCGAAAAGCTACTTAAGATTCCAGCCTTAATTAAAAGCCAAGAGTGCCGATTGTTTATGCCTCGACACGCAACGCGAATACAAAATTCATTGGCTCTGTTGGCTCTCGTCCCCGATTTCTCGGTAACTGCGTGCATAAATGCACTCTCGGCTGAATTGCTAATAGTGTTTGGACAAATGATAATAATAATAACAAACACGCTACTGGAGTGCCGTCCTTTTATGGCGGTCTCGCACACAGGAATTCCGCGGCGAAAAATGTGCTGAGCAAGAAGAATCGAAAGAGGATCCAACAGAGAGATGGGTCCAAAAAGATAGCAAGCACTTTTCAAATAATGTGGGGCCACAGGTGGTAATTTTCACACCTCTAGGGCAAATAAAGGAACTATGCTGAGCGGCAGGTATGAATTTTTGTGCGATGGAATAATGAAAGAGGAGGAGGAAGAGGAAATCGCGGTAGGCAGAATCAGAGAAAAAGGGCGACCATGATAAAAATGGGTCCCATTACGAAATTGTGGGTTTGAGGGTTGACTAACAGGTGTGAAATATTTTGTTTCTATGGTGGCTTACTAATAAATTTAAAAATTAGAACGTAATAAAAAATAATTATGATAATAATTTGTTTGAAATTTGTATCTAACATTTGAAAAAAGTAAATAATTAAATTCCACTAAATTATTTTTATTTATTTTTAATATTATCATTGCTTTCGATTTGTCACGATTTGAAAATTATTTGGTAAAAAATATTGTGTTTTAATTTTACAATAAATATGAGTTCATAATATCATAATTTTAATATTTTTCCTTTGCTAGGAAATATTAAAAACGTTTCTAGTTGTTATAATTTTGGCCTTTGTATTATTTAAATATTTGCTCATCTCCTCTTTCCTTCAAAAGTGAAACGGATATAATAAGACCGAGTTTCGAATTTTGGTGCTCCTCGCAGATCGCGTGACGCCGCGCGGCACAGTTTTCCAGCACATCTGTTTTGCTCGTTAAACGTTTGTTTATACAAAAGCTGAGAAGAATATCAGGAATAATAAAAGTGACGACTTCCTTTCCTTTTTTCTGATGCTTGGGTGCCGCTGTCTCGCTTGGGATGTATTTATTTTTCCCCACTGTTCAGTTCCCCAAATGAGGAGCACATGCACGTGCGTTCAAGTCACTCCAAAAATTCAATTTTCCTTTCCACTTCTCTGCTCTCTCGCGTTTACGATCCAATTTAACTGCCCAGGCCATCGACTTTTGTTTAAGTGATTGAAACGCTGTTAAAAGTGTTGCTCGGCAAAGTGCTCCGATAGAGATTTATCGGAGGAGAATAAAATTATAAAAATCGTTTACACTATGGCGCTCTCTCGGATTGAATTTTTTTTCCATATCAGAGTGCGTCACGTCCAATTACAAGACGCAATCCCAAGGAAATCTTCTTGAATTAATCCAACAGCTTTTTACAATAATGATGTCGAGATCTCTGTTGTTTCCCGCTCCGAAGCCGTGAAGTCGAGTGTAAAGTACATTTATTGAGTTTTCTTGTTGTGCGGCAAGATGTTCATTGATAAAATTTCTGTGAGGCCGTCGTCTGCTCCGGAAAATACATATTTATGAGCATTGTGTCTCTCAATCGTCTGCTCTCTTGGTGAAGGTTAGGAACATCACATTTGAGCGGCGCATGAGATCTTTAAAGGGGAGAAAATGAAACTTCTGCTGGTACCGTCAAAAAATTTATGAGAGAATATTAAGAAATTTTATACTGGTTGTAAATGTTACTTTTTCTTAATAACATTTAATTGGTTGCAGTGGCCTAACGGGATATTTTGTAAATTTTATGCAGCATATTTTGTGAAATAATCCTGAATTCATGAAAAATGCGCTTTTTAATTTAATTTAAATAAAAAACATTAAGAATTACCGAGAATTACTTTGGTACAGCAATACCGGTAAAAATTTAAATTAAATTTAGCTCATAATGTGGTTGTTTCTTTTTTATTTTACATTCCATAAAAATAAAAATTAGATACTGATATTTTCAGTATTCAGACAATGAATAAATAAAATTGACATTGGATTATAAAAAACGATATTGAGCAATAATCATGGGTTTTCTGTCTCAAATTAAAATGCTTCTTCATTTTATATGATAAGTGAATTAAATTAAAAGCTTAAACAATAATTTTAATTACTTACTGGTTGATGAAGAAAGTATTGCTTATTGCTTATTGTTTTAATACTTTAATCCAAAGCAGTTGTGTTGCAGCTCTTGTCATTAACGCGACTGTTTAGTCTGCGCTTGAAATTGTTTGTGTGCATATTAATGAACTGCGTCATGTGTGTCAACTCAAAATTATACATTCACGCTCTCGCATAAAGCACAATGCACGCTGCTGAAAAGCAAATTTCGTAATCTTAAAGCGACGAGAGTTTTTTGTTTTGTTTAATTTTCCATGGCAGAGAGAGAAGCTGCCGAGTGAGTCACTTTTCGTTCCTGTGTAGCGTGAAATTAATTCGAATCCAAATGCATGTGCTATGGAAAAAAACGTCAGAGTTTTTGCGATATACAGATGCGAGCAAGTGAATTTCAAAGGCGAGGAGATGTGTCTGACGTCAAAGAGCGAATAAACGTGTGCGTGAGAGCATCGGAGAGCAGAAGAACTGCAGAGAGCAACAAGTGGCGGTCATGTGTGAATCCCATGAGGACATAAGAAATAACTTAACTTAGATATTACATTATGTTGACATGTGGAACATGTGCAAAAATTAATTCGCGACTTAAGACGTATTAGAGATGAAAGCTAGGGCTATGTTGTGACAACTCTACTGTAATTCATTAAATTTTTTATAATTAAAAGAAGCTTCAAAAAAGTAAAACAAAAATATACATTACTAAATATGTCTTCCAGTATAAAACAATAAAAAATTAAAAGCTTAGCTAAAAATATAAATTAAAACAGTAAAAAAGGTTATTCCATTTTTAAGTTTCTTATTTTTGTAAAATAAAAAATTTTTAAGAATTAAATTAATACAATTTTTTAAATTTATTATCTTTATATTACTGCAAATTTACATAAATATTTGATAACTGGTAGCATGACAATATTTTATAATCAATATTTAAAAAATAAATAAATAAATACCACGATTATAAAGAATATAATCGATTATAAATTAGAAATGATAATAGAATGTTCTTAACCGCCACACTGTGTGAATTTGCTAATTAAATTTTAAAATTATTAACAAGCTTTCTATAATTTTAATTGAAAGTTTTGCTCCCTGGATCCCGCACCCACATTGACCATTACTCATTCCTCGTGTGCCACCTCAGCACTCTCCGGATATGAATTGAAGATAATCTTTCTCTCTCTCGTCGAGCGCACTGCAAATGAGTTACATGCACACACAGTGCTGCTGCGTGCAATAACGATATCACGTACAATGCGGGTTGGCCAATAATGCATCATTTGTACGTGCGGTTGGCTGACAAGAATAACACATTACAAGGGAACAGTATCATTAGCATCCTGCACAAGAGCAGAGGTTTATGCGTGTCTCGCGGAATAGGGTTTGGCTATTCATGCTGATGTGATGAATTAATACTTTTTGTTCTGCGGTTATACGACTGTGAGATGATAACCCGAAGTGATTCAAAGGTTTATTCATTTGTGCGGTCGATTTGCATAACTCATTCTAAATATGGACAAAGATGGATATTCCGACTTCAACGTAAACGACAGATAGGAAGTCGGAACTCCAAAACCAAAAGGAAAATGAAAAAAAAAATGACGCAATAAACTGTCACCAGCATGAGGATATTATGCATATCAGGAAGCGGCGTAGACTAAAGAGGATATAATAAAAATAGAAATGAAATAAAGAGAAAAAACTTGACAGTTTTAACTTCTTGAAGATGTCAAATTCATTGACAATTATATGGTAAATAAATGATAGAGAAAAAGAAAGTTTTTATTTAATCTTCAGCGTTATTAATTCACATCTTTCTGGAAAAAAAAAATGGAGAATCCGCTTTCAATATTAAATTTGCTACAATGAATTGCAATTTCACCAAATAAAGGAGATATTGCTAAAAATTTTCATCGATTTAATGAATTGATTAGCATTTTCGAAGGGAGTGTATCGATTAAATATTTTAATACTAAACAATAATACTAAAGGAGCACAGTTCAGGTTCAAAGGTTGCCAATGAGGATATGAATGGCCCATCAAATTTTGTTTTGATGCGAGTCGCAAATTAATTCAGTCATAAAAACTTCACAAGCCAATAGATGTGGCACAATAAAGGATGACGCAAACAGCCTTGAGCCATGCATCTTCTAATTCAATAATCCTCCCATTAATAAATTAGCCAAGTTGCATCTTTTGATAAACAAATTCCGCTCTTTTCGAGAGTAAGCAACACAAGAAACGTAACCCAATAATAATTTGACCTCGGCGGCTGAAGAGTTTTCGGTCTCGGCTCTTTTGGATTGGGTTTCAAAAGAGTCTCGCATCTCGAAAGCTGAATAAACGCGCGGGGTTTATGAACTTGTAGCGCGGGCATATTATGATATACCGCACACTGACTGCTTCGTCTTCCTTCTGCGATGGGTGACGCAATTAGGCATAAATTCATATATATGTGTTTAGTTTAATAAGTACGCGCATAAGTATATAATTCTGCCGGCGGAGAGACTTACTTTCTTCCTCCGCCGAGCAGACGTCATTTCGGATTATGC